ACAAATGACAATTACCATTACTATCATTAACACAAATAATAATTATTTTCATTAATATAATGAAAAGAATAGAGTTGAATAACAAATCAGCCATGGGCCTGGTGGTGATTTTTTCAGTGACTCAGATAACCAAAAGTAGCTGCCCTAGGGGGTGGGGGGCAGTGGGGGAGAAGAAATGGAGGATAAGAAAACAGAGGAGGAAGCCGGGCGTGGTGGCTCATGCCTGTAATCCTAGCACTCTGGGAGGCCAAGGTGGGTGGATTGCTGGAGATCAGGAGTTCGAAACCAGCCTGAGCAAGAGCGAGATCCCATCTCTACTATAAATAGAAAGAAATTAATTGGACAACTAATATATATAGAAAAAAATTAGCTGGGCATGGTGGCTCATGCCTGTAGTCCCAGCTACTCGGGAGGCTGAGGCAGGAGGATTGCCTGAGCCCAGGAGTTTGAGGTTGCTGTGAGGTAGGCTGATGCCACGGCACTCACACTGACGCCTGGGCAAAAAGCAAGACTCTGTCTCAAAAAAGAAAAAGAAAAAAGAAAACAGAGGAGGAGGAGAGAGACGAGGAGGAGAAGAGAAAGATGATGATGAGGAGGAGGAGTTCTTACATACTGTCATTGCCACAAGTTTGAAAGCTTTAAGACAAGGTGAAATCCAATCCCTTGTTAGTCTTGACTCCACTAGAATAATAAAAAAAGGGAGAAAACCCCTCTAGCCTTTTTGGCACTCATTTCCCCCAAAGCCTCCCAAAGTAATCACATGTAAGAGCCAAATAAACACCAAATCTGAACCTCTCCTTAGCCCAGAGGGTGCCAAGTTGGCATTCCATTGCCCAAAGTTTTTTTTGGCATTGGCACATTTATCTCCCTTATTCTAGAAGAGGGAATAGACAATGTGGATTTTTCATTAAAAGAATTATTTATTGTTTACATACTGTGTGCTGCATATTTTATCCAGAGTCCCTCTACCTCTCTCAGTAACCCTTACAGACGAGGAAATCCGGCTTGGGGAGGTAAACAGTTTGCCCCAGGTTCCCGCAGACAGTACGTGGTGGAGACACTGAACCCACCTGGGTGGGTTTCTGACCACAAGCATTTCCCTTTTTCCATTACACCAGAAACTTAACGTAAAGACCCCCTGCCAAAACTGACAGAGAAAGAGAACTAAATAAAATAGCTTATACATTTGAAAAAATATCTCAACATTGTGTTAGCAGCTTTTCTGTCACCTCACTCAATTCATACAATAACCCCCTGGAGTGGATGTTGTCACTATCTCCATGTACAATCAAGAAAGCTCAGAGGGGTTCCTTGTTTCACCTGTATATGCTGCAGGTTGAAACGGAGAAGGGAGAACAGATTTAGGTAAACAGAAGAGAGACAGACAGACAGAAGCTGTATGTGGAGCAGCGGAGAGGGCAACCAGCTTCAGAGAAAGCCGGTGCCTGGTGCTCCAGGTCACAGACAAGAGGGAAGCTGGAAGGAAGGCCTCTTAGAGGGCAGATGGTGGGGGAAGGCAGATTATCAATTTATACTAATGAAAATACAATGAGTCATGGGTGTCGTAGCCAATAAAAGATAGCAGGGATGACTGGACAGCCAATAAATCATTTCTGAACATAAAACTTTCTGTTTCCTGAAGGTTTGAGATTGTCTTGGGCAGGGACTGAAGCCCCCACACATTATGACAAGTGAAGAAGCAGGCCTCCAATTTTAAAGTCAACAAATTCACTAGGCCCTGAAAATACTTCCAATCCCTCACAAGCATGGAATACCTGAGTCACTGCTACTGGTTTTGTTTGTTTTTTTTTTTTTTTTTTTTTGAGACAGTCTCACTCTGTTGCCTGGGCTAGAGTGCCATGGCGTCAGCCTACCTCACAGCAACCTCAAACTCGTAGGCTGAAGCAATCCTCCTTTCTCAGCCTCCAGAGTAGCTGGGACTACAGGCATGCACCACCATGCCTGGCTAATTTTTTTCTATTTTTAGTTGTTTGGCTAATTTCTTTCTATTTATAGTAGAGACAGGGTCTCGCTCTTGCTCAGGCTGGTCTCGAACTCCCGAGCTCAAGCAATCCTCCCGCCTCGGCCTCCCAGAGTGCTAGGATTACAGGCGTGAGCCACCGCACCTGGCCACTGCTCCTTTCATGTACATCCTGTTAGGCAATGTTGTCCGAACTTACCTCATCACATGACCACCCAGGACACCTGCTAAACACACACATTCCCAGGTCTCCCACAGACATTCTGATTCCATATGCTAGAAACCAGAAGTCCAGGGGATGTGTGTTTTGAATAAATGACTCAGGTGATGCTTATCATCAGGCTAGTCTGGAAAAACTGTCTTAATAGGACTGTCACAACAAGCTTGCAAAATAGGTATCATGATTCCCATTCTACAGATATGGAGAGCCAGACTCAAAGGAGGGAAGGCACATGCCCAGGCCACACACCTAGTATGTGACAGAATCCAGTGTGTATGCCACTGAACTTCACTCCATCTGTGCTAGAGCAAGTTTCAGAAAGCCTACTCCTTGGTGTCTAAAAATAGCATGAGACACCCAGAAATGGGGTGAAGTGTATTGAGAGCCATCAGAAAGAATTAGGAAGAAAGTCAAACCGCTGGGTGGAACAACACCCAAAGAAAAAGAGAAGGAAAGCCAGATTCTCCTTCATCTCTAGCCCCATTTTTGAGCCTTCCAGGTTGGCAAGCCAATGGGATACTGCCTATACACACAACGACCGGCACTGCTTAGACTGGCAGGTCCGTTTGGCTAAAATGATACTAACATTACTTTTACTACTGCACAAAGGGGGGAAAAAACCTAGAGAAAAGTCCTCTCAGAAATACCTTTGGACAATTAATGTCACACCAAAAGAGGAATAACCAAGACAATATCTGCACCCACATACCGCTCTCCCCATCAGTGATAATGATAATGGTGACTAATTACATCTTCCAGGGTAAAGTTCAGACCATTCCTCCTCTCTGCCAGAGATGGGTGAGTACCAGAGGTTGGCAGAGGCCATTTTCATATGCACCTGGATCCCTTCACCCTGAGACCTTTGGCTAATGATCATTTCACTGGGAGGAGGGTGTGGGAGGGGCTGACATGAAGAATGAAGTGCTTGTGAAACACATCTTCTGCTATCTCCTTGCAAGAAGCCCCTGCAGCTGAACTATCGCACCCTTATCAACTGCCTACAAGAAAAGGCCCAAACCTATAAAATGAGATAGACAGGAGGCGCGCAGATGAAATGGTACTGCTATTTCCAGCTTCCCCTGAGTTTAAATAAGGGGGAAATGGGTAGGATTTGCTGCCCACCTCCCATGAGCTGACTTTAAGATACACCAGCTGCCTCCTTAAGAGATACAGCTTGATCTGTTCTCAGGGAAACGATCCCCCTCCTCACAGGTTGGTTCAAGCAGATTCTAAACCTTTTTCAAGATAAGAAGACCTGCCCCTACCCTGTGCATCCCCTTAAATCTGAGGTCAAGATGACAAGACATCTGCCATACTTACAGATGTCATGTCCAACCTGTCTATATATATCTATGCACACACCCACTCTGTTAATTATAGCAGCCGCAATTTCACACTCAATGAGTATTTTGTAAAAGTCTCTGGCATGTAGCACATACTTTATTTTTAACATTCATAATTTACTGAAAAATAGTTGTTGACTTCCACATATATACTTTTATAGTATGGGATGAGTAGGGTATATTTATATAAAAAGCAAAACAAATCCATAACATGCCCATCCAGTTAAAATCAGCTTCCTTTAAAAACATATCTCCTGTCTTAAATTTAGGGGCCACAAATACTGACACACACACACACACACACACACACACACACACACACAGAGTCACGCCTGCAATAAAGATGTTCCAGTCAATGCCAGACCGCATATACAACACTGGTTCCCCCAAGATTATAATGGAGCTGAAAAATTCCTATCACTTAGTGACACCTTGATGATTCTGACCCTGTGTAGGCTCTAATGTGTATGTCTGTATCTTAGTTTTTAATGAAAAAGTTTAAAAAGTAAAAGAAAAAATTTTAACAGAAAAAAGCTTATGGAGTAAGAACATAAAGAAAAAAATATTTTCATATAGCTGTACAACCTATTTGTGTTTGTTATTATAAAAGAGTCAAAAAGTTAAAATTTAAAGTTTATAAAGTAAAAAAAGTTACAGTAAGCTAAAGTTAATTTATTATTGAAGAAAAAAAATTAGACATTAATGACCTAGGTCTCACGTTCTCTCACCAGTCACTCACTAACTCAGCCAGAACAACTTCCAGTCCTGTGAGCTCCATTCATAGTAAATGCCCTATACAGGTATACAGGTATACCTTTTTTTTTTAATTTTTTGTATCATGTACTTTTATTATCCCTTTCTATGTTGAGGCATGTTTAGATACACAAATACTCACCATTGTGTCACAATGGCCTACAGTATTCAGCACAGTAACATGCTGTAGTTTGTAATCTAAGAGCAATAGGTCATACTACTTAGCCTCTGTGTGTAGCGGGCTACACCTAGGTCTGTGCAAGTGCACTCTATGATGTTCAATCAACAACAAAATCACCTAAGGATGCATTTCTCAGAACACATCTTTGTTATTAAGCAGTGCATTACTCTGTGTGTGTGTGTGTATGTATATATCACATATTTTTTTCTTTTATTCACCATGTAAAAAGTGCCTTTGGAAAAAGTTACATTTCACTCCGGATTTTTCACATTTCCTTCAAATGTGTCCAATTTTAATGAATGGTCTTCACCTTGGATACTCACATTCCAGGCCTCTTGGGGCAACAGTGTTTGGGCATGTGCAGAGGAGGTAGAAGATAGATTCAAGATGTTTCAAGTATGCAAAAATCACATGCAGATGTACAAACAGTGTGTCCAGTCAAAGAGAGTTAAGAAAGCAATATATATACAGACACCCGAGAATGGAAGATGGCAAATAAAACCCAACTTGTAATTAACATACCGCGCTGTGACACCTGTTGCCTTCCACGATAAGAAGTCCGGGAGATCAAAGAAATGTCCCGCCTTATCCCAGCAAGTCTCTCTCAAGTTCTGCCAAATTAAATATACATTAGAATCAACGATGGGATTTTTTTCTAGCCCTCTCCTCTTTCAATAATGTTTTAAAATTTTCAAAACAAAAGCGTAGCCAACAATGCCCATAAAAACATCTGTTCAGGGGCTTTGGTGGGGGTGGGAATAATATAAAAGCAGTACTTGTACAGGAAAGAAAAACTGGCAAGTATTGATCTTTCAAAAAATGACCATAATTTCCCTTTTATCCCTGTTGGCCAAACTGGAGGGAGACAGAGCATGCTCTGGTAGAGTATGTAATCCATCTTCCCAGTGATCAGTGAAAGGATACACTTCGAGCCATATAAGAGAATTTCAACACTGAGCAGCTGTAAGCTGGGAAGAAACTGCACTAAGAAATTACCCAGCAAAACTAAATGTGACCTGCCATGTAAAAGTCTCCACATGCCAGGTGGTTCCAAAGGTAATAGAAATAAGAGGGACCCTGCCCTCAAATAACTTCCAATCTAAGCCAGAGAGAATGGCCACATAATCAAGCCATTATTATAAAATTTTTAAAGATTTATTTCTTCTACATTGCCAAATGGCCAGAGTTTTTTCTTACAGCTTTTCTTGTAAGGTGGCTTTCCTTTCCTTTGCCGCCTCTGTCTAGAAGATTCGTTCCTCACCCACCACCCTGTTCCCTCCCAGCATCTACATCCTCCTGCTCACTTCAGTCAACCCTATCCACCATTCCTTGGGGAGGGTTTCCAGAATCTCCTACTCAGCTTTAGGTCTGGTTGTCATACAGCCTGTACCACCCACAATTATTTGTGTCATGTCTTTTGCTCCTGCTAGACTACAAGCTCTGTCAGATCAAGGATCCTATCTGTTCTGTTCACCGCATCTGATGATTGTTTCTCCTCCTCTTTGCAAACTGAGTGGCCCCTCAGTTGCTGAGTAGACACGACGCAACTCTAGCCCTCTCACTATTAATATAAGCTCTGGACTGCCCCAGGTATGGACCTGGGATCTAGCTGAGCCAATCAAGTTTCTTCTCCCAGGAATTTAGAATCAGGACCCAATGAAGCCATTCAACTTCTGCCTGTGAATGGAACTGGAGGTGAGATAAACTTGGAAACTGTGACATTACCATTTTTTGCCAAGTACCTGGAGAAGTAAAACTTCATAAAGAGAAAAGAAGACAGAAGCACTAGCAAGAAAGGTTTTCTACCATCCAGGCAACTTTCCATGCATTGTTTTCAACTATTCTCTCTCCAAGGAGCTATAAGAAAAAGGAATTTATCATACGCATGAAGGTATCTTTGGGAACCTATGGGCCACAATGCAGAAGTTCCAAAGAGATGCATGTCTGGACCAACTACAGGGTAACATATAGAAGGCACTCAATAAATATGTGCTGAATTACTAACCAAACTGCTTGCTTTCACCATCCAGTCCCCCTTATGTGAGGAGTGCTTTGGATTTGATAAAGGACTTCCACATGTGTAATCATCTTCTTAGAGCAGCCAAAAAGTCTTAGGTGCTATTATACCTATTTTACACACATGCAACTGGCCTTTACCTATACTTACCCTCAAATTCTGTGAGTTCTTCCTACACGCTGTTTCCCTATCACCACTATATGAACACACACATCTATGTACAATAGACAAACCAGGCACTAAACCAGGTACAGGGTTCTATTAAAACAACTACATCAAAAGGGTTCAGATGTAAAAGGCAAAATATTAACTCCATTCTGTTGTTGTTGTTTGTTTTAAATCCTAAGCATTTAAGTGAAGGCATATATCTGGAAAGGGACCCATCCTAAATGTTTCTTTGAATGCCTGTACATCTTAATGTTAAATATAGCAAAATTTAAAGTACACTAAATATGCCTATCATAGCTATGAACTAGCAGTATCTCTATATACTAACAAGTCACACTCAGAAAACGGTAGTCTTTGAAACTATGTGAGTCAAACTACCAGTATGCCTTTGGGATAGTCCCCAAAATCTATTTTCCATGTGTTCTGCGGTTTCAGAAATGAGTGGTCAGGGAGAAGGAGAAAAGGCAGCCTCCACCTAAAGGTTGCAGAAATCCAAGGCCCGTCACGAGACATGAACTGCCAAACCACTACAACATCAACCAGTGCTTCAAGCCCAAGCTCAACAATCCTCCTAAACTCAGGGGAAAAAAAATACTTCGGTTAGATCTTGTATATGGTCATTAAAGACCTTATATTATATAATGAGAGCTCTCAGTCTGCAGCGACACAAACAGTCACTGTAGACAATGGAACCCAGGTAGAGTGTCTCAAAGAGAACTTCAGGCCTTCTGCTAAAAAGGGACACTGGGGGTAGGAGAAGCAAGGGGTCCAGGGGGCATCATTCTTCTTGAGACCACATGACCCTCATCGATCAAAGCTCGAGGGCTAACCAACCTCTCCGTGGGATGAGGAACCAGAAACCATGTGCTACTAGAAGTATGAGGTATCCTTAAGACTGCACATGGTCTCAGTAGAGAAGCTAGCAGTACTCCCTGCTTTCTCTGCAACAGCAAAGTCTGGAGAGTAGCCAGCAAAGAGAAGGAGGAAGAGTCTGGATGGGAGAGAATGTCTCCAGAAGTCTGATTCCTTACTTTGAGATGCCGACAGGCTTTTACAGGGATCCCATGAAGTTCTTGTATTGGGCTACATGATTCATAAGTGCTTTGTCATCAAACGCCAGGTTGGCCAAGAGCACATTAGCCCCTATAGATGGATTTTTAATCCAGTGGGAAAATATCTTCTGTCCTTCCTCCTCCCCAGCCAGCACAGTCCAGACCAAGGGCCTCGATCATACTGAATTAATTCTATTCTTGCAACCATTGGGTCTGCATCAGGACACAGTGAGTTACCTCTTATTTCCTCCACAGTTTACAACAGTGTTCCCCTGTGCCTCATCTCATTTGATCCTCGGGGTGGTTCAGAGGCGTGTAGGCAATATGCAGTACTGTCACACTAAGGAGGGAGGACCTGAGCATCAGACCACAAGGGCTTGGCCAAAGTCACACAGGGTTTCCAGCTCTAAAGTGAGTATTCCATCCTCCCACTATGTCACCACGCTGCAGTTTCTACCCTGAAGCTCCCACTGAACTTCTATACACCTAACCCTCAATGCACAACAGATACACGGGTTAGAGAGAGAACACAGGGCAGGCCCTCAACACTCACCAACTTCAGTTCTATCTCATTACGTGATAGCTTAACACAGTTCCAACTAGGAGCTCTCTATGCTGAATGAGTTAAGTCTTTCTATCCTCCAGTTACCAAGCAACTAACAAAAACAAGTCTTTTCAAGAAGAAAAAAGAAATCAGCAGTGATTTGGGGTGTATGACTTGGCACAAAAGGTTTCTACATTCCGACAACAATCCTCTGAGCTAAGCAATCCCCCGGCTTGAAAGCAACCAAATAGAACAGCTTTTTTTTTTTTTTCCTAAATCATCTATTACTTCATAAAACCACAGCATTTCTTGGGAGGAGGCTACTACTCAAAGCTCACACAGCTGCGGGTCTCAGCAGAGGGTGGAGGTAGGGTAGTTAAGTCCAAGATTCAAGGCAGCAGCCGCCCTGCCAGTCTCAGGGCAGAGAGAAGCAGCTTTCACCCCACCCCTTCCCTCCCACTGCAAGGTCCAAGAAAGTGTGTCCAGGGAAGCTGTGAGGTCTCTGCTGCTTCTAGACACTGAGGGAACTTGTGGGGAAAATGAGGCAGCTACTGCGATGACAACAGGATCTACAAGCAACACAAGAGAACAGGGATGACCAGATAAAAAAGATCATCCAGAGGCCGGCGTGGTGGCTCATACCTGTAATCCTAGCTCTCTGGGAGGCGGAGGCCGGAGGATCGCTCAAGGTCAGGAGTTTGAGACCAGCCTGAGCAAGAGCAAGACCCCATCTCTACTAAAATAGAAAGAATTAATTGGCAACTAAAAATAATATATAGAGAAAAAATTAGCCGAGCATGGTGGTGCACTGCCTGTAGTCCAGCTACTCGGGGAGCTGAGCAGAAGGATTGCTTGAGCCCAGAAGTTTGAGGTTGCTGTGAGCTAGCTGATGCCATGGCACTCTAGCCCAGGCAATAGAGTGAGACTGTGTCTCAAAAAAAAATCATCCAAGTATTTAATTATTACTTGCAAAGGGATTCTATCTGGTTATCTATTGTGTGCAGTGAACAAAAGGGAGGGGACAGAGCTCCCTAATTCCCCACTCAATAAATGAGCCTGCCTGCACATTCCAAGTACTTACAATATTGTTGTCCAGCAAAACCATACCTTTAATGTTTAAGACTTCAAATTAGGCTGATCGCCCAGAGAGAAAAGATGTTTCAGAAAGAAACTTAATGTCCAATATCATTCTTAAAAGAAAAATGATTCTGGAAACCTGGAGTGGGTCATAAATCCCAACCAGAAACTTCTCAGAATGAATGAAACAATTGTGTGTTTCAAACTCCCATCCACAGAGATAAAGAGCGAATGCCAGAAAAATTTCAAGTCAGGCAGGCAGATAAGCTGAGAGGTTTGCGCTACTAGAGGCATCTTAATAAAAACTTAAAACTTTCCATTCCATTCCTTTGTTGAAAATGGTTCGACAGCTCCTCATGGCCTAGAATCCCATTTTAACTCCTCAGCACGGCTCTCAGGACACTTAACAACCTGGCTCCAACTTGGCCATTATTTATCATTATTATGATTACTTTCTGGGCTCATCTCCCATCACCTCTCTCCTAACCCCTCCACTCGGCTTCTCACCTTATTTCTCTGACTTCCCAAATGCATTATGTTCTTTCCTATTTTAACACTTCTGTTTAGGATGGTACATGGACTGACGATCCCATCTTCTCCCCTTATCAAACTTCTTTTTATTTAAATTTCAGAATATTATGGGGATACAAACATTTTGGTTACATGCAATGCCTTTGCCTCGCCCAAGCCAGGGCTACAAGTGTGCTCTTCCCCCATCCAGTGCATTCTGTCTCCGTTAGTTGTGAGTTTATC